TCAACTGAACTCTTTATCAAATCTTAGGCAAGCTTGTAATGGAAAAAACACATGGCGTTAATTCCATTTAATTCAATTATACTGCAACTGACACAGTTGTCCCTGAAACAAAGCAGCAAAGATCTCAAATTAGCAAAGGCAATGGGGCCCTGCTACACATCAGTAAACTGAGAGAGGCTCATGTTCACCAGTGTCTGAATGATAAGAGAGGGATTATACATGGTATGCAGGATTTAAAGAATCTGAAGTTATACATGACAAGACTTTCCGTTAGCATGTGATCCAGAGGATTTTTTGAAGGATTCAACATCAAAGGCGTTCCAAGACATCACTAATTTCAGCTAACTAGTTAAACTGACTCCAAAACGTACAGGAGGGGTGGTGATTTTTGGTCAGCGAATGTACATTTTCTTATGCTTTACAAGAACCAGACTAACAATAGTAACTTTATGCAAAATAGAGCAGCATACCCTAAAAACTGACTATGTGGTGTTAAGGTAATTTCACATGCTATTCCATTTCCAACAGATCAATTCAGTCAGTATCTCCGACTCCCAGTCACTCTCCACCTACATTAGCAATAAAGTCGAAATGAATCTACCAGCAGGCTGGAAGTGGTACAGTATTACAGGTACCAAGAAATTTGAGATGTAGGTAGGCTATTCGTTTTTCACATTAAATTATTATCTCATAGCCAATGATTTGATTGGCTGCTTTGCCTCCTTCAGCCACTTTATTTTATTTTATTGTAATATATTTAATCAAACTTTTCTTGAATATTACTCCTGTTAAATGCCAATTTACTGCACAGTCATAATGAAAGCAAGAATTCAAAGACAGTTTTCACAAAGGTGCCAATTTCTGTGTGAGTGCCCAGCACAAACATTGAGTCAATAAGCAAGTCTATGTAGAAGTTGTGCTTTTATGTGATGTATGAAGAGTATAGAGTATTGATATAAAGTGGTCTAAATCAATGAGTGTCAAATGACAAATAAAGTTGATCAAGTATTCAGACACGCAAGACGCCAGTGAGACCAACTATGAATAGCTCGTTTCTATGGATAAAATTAGACCAGGACTAGAACACACAAGCTAGCTACACTTGAGTCGAGCTTTAGATATTCGTATAAGACATCAATGCAACTCAGCATAACTTTCACATGATACAATTCGCAGCGTAGGCTACTAAATGCTGCAAAAAGAATCGAGTTAGAAATAAGTGGATTATATTACGACGCAAAGTTTTGCTAAGTAACTTTTTGCGTGCATTTCCATTGATACAGTTACCTGTTGTTACACAAAAGCAGCACAGAGAGTTATATTAAGTGTATAAAAATGCAGATGAATCACTTACATTGAACAGATGCGACGTAAATATCAAAGGGATAATAAAAAGAGTGAGTTTATGGGCACGTATCCGCGTCCCCATTTCTGCCAACCCAGCACGACTCCAAACACGCCGCTGGGAAAATCAAAGTCCGTCACTTGAAGCCACTGGGAAATGTCTTCGCAAAACTTTCAAGCGTTTCTTTTAGGCTACAGCAAGCAAGGCCGCCGTCGCTTCTCCGTCCCACGCTTGGTGGGACTTCATTTGCCAAAAAAAAAAAGAAAAGAAAGAAAAAACCCGTCTGCTGTTGAGTGCTTGTGAGATACAACCAAGAGAAACTGATGGTTGACTTGTGAATATCCGTTTTGTTCTCTTGGTCCTACTTTCCAATGGACAAGCAGAAAGTTCAGCATGCACTGCCTAGCGGATCACTTCAGCGCGATAATGTTGAACTGCTGACAATGGCTTTGTTTCAAATCATAGTAAGCTGCCTAGCTAGACAGCATAGTGAGCTCTTCTCAGCTGACGCGGAAAGCGTCCCGGAACGTCCCAGAACTATGACGCAAATATGGTGTCTAGGTAGGCAGCTCACAAGGATTTGAGACACAGCCTATCAGCGCCTGGTATAAAAGGCGGAATGGAACTCCAGGAGCGGGATCTTACAGCTAGACGCCTCTACTAACGGGAAATATTTGGCTACATGTGATACAAACTACATTTTTATTCTTATTTTAATTAAATGAAAATACACAACATATGTACTGTGACTTTACCAGATGTTTTTAATACGCAAATAAGCGTATTCATCGCTATTGTAGCAGGCTACTATAAAATATGTAATAACGCAAAATATTTAATAAAACACTGTACCTCGTACCTATTTGTCTTTTTGCTTATGACACCAAGTGTGAATACGGATGAAGTGGGTCTTTTTTTTAATAAAGGATCGTTATTTTTTAGGGATGTTTAGCTATGTGACCCTGGACGGTCTGGACCACAAAACGAGTCACATTGGTCAATTTTGTTTAATTAAGATTTGTAAGGATATCATTTGGACGAGATACTATTTGAAAAATTATTTGAACTATTTGAAAATCTGGAATGTGAGGATGCAAAAAAAAAATCGAAACATTGAGAAGATTAAACTTGTCCATTTATGTTCACGGCTGCATTCACTCACAAAAATAAATGTTTACGGTAGGAAATTTACAAAATATATTCATAAACATGATCTTTACTTAATATAAAGATAAAGAAAGAAACAATTTGGCTACAGTTTGGTCATTTAAAAAAAAATAAAACTTTTTTTATTGTTTATTTTAAGACAGTTTTGTAAAACCGTTAAATCACACCAAAGTTATCATTTCAGTTTTGATTATGATGCCTGTTCATGAGTATTTATCTGTATAATTGCATCTTAAACACTTCAACACAACAGGGTCTGTTCTTCCAATGTCTCTAATAGCCAAATTATCTCTGGTTTAGATCACTTTGTGGCAGTAGCACCACCTAATGATGCAAAACTTATGAGACTCTGAAAACTCTCTGCTGAAAGATGTCCAGTTGGTTATTCTTATGATTTGAAATTGGCCCAAGTCTTTCTATTGACAATGTGAACTTCCAGTTACATCATATTTGATTAGTTCAGATATTTGTAAAATTTCTCTTGGTAATCTCTTCAGCCCAGCTTTCAATATCTAAATCATCGTACAGTATTATCATATAATATTGGTCTCCTTACCCTAAAAACGAAATAGGAAATTATACATCTACAAAACTGTGAAGCCATCAGAGATAGTCCAAGACTGCTTATCCTTGGACATAAACTGACTCAAACAAGTGCATCAAAAAGCATTTAAACATCATGTGATAATGTGGTTTTCTGGCCATAAGCAATAGATCCATTAGCAGTAACCTAATGAAAAGAAGTTTCCCTCAGAAAAAAAAGACTGATCACTTGTCATCTCTTTCTGTTCAGCCATTCAGAGTTTTCTCCATCCAATATAACAAGGACATCTGCACAGAATCTGTTTACATGCACGGTCACATGCATAACTGGGACCAAATAAAGCAGCTGCTTTCAATTTAGACATCATCTACCCAGCTGGATTCCCTCTAGCAACTCCAAAACAACACTGTAAACTATAATTATGAAGAAAGCTGCCAAGATGCATCACTGTATGTAGAAAATTTCTAAATGAAGATGTATGCATGTTTCTTTTGACACAAAATGGATGATGTCACATTGTCACATTTGACAAAGTAGCTGGTTGTCATCAAATGATTCATGCTACATTCCTTTTTCCCTTTTGAACCCCTCACAACCATGTTGTGCAAATGACAAGTTGAAACTAAGGGAACACATGAATGGTGCCTGAAAGGAACAAATAAACGATATTGAATAATAATCTTGAAAACTGGTAAAAACTTGAATAATTTGACTTATTATGACAATTAGATGTAGCAAAAACATTATCAGGTGTATTTATTTTTGTCTAAGCCACTGTCTCCACCTGCTGGGGGTTACAAGGAACTGTTCTGAAGTACACGCTTATTAAAATAATATTACAGAACAGACTGGTTTCTTATTGAGGGGGATATACATTGTGTCTTTCCCATTGCAGTTAATGTCTAAATTAATATACATTATGGTATGTCATACAAAATATTACATGCAAGATTAAGAATAATTATCGACAAAGGCACAAAACACAAAAACAGCCAAAAATCAATGGTTTCTGGAGCTTGCCAAAGGCAGACTGCCAGCTACTGACAGGTCACGTGACATGCCAGCTGAAGATTGAACCCACACTCCTTTTTATTATAATGCATGAAACATTTGTTATTCTAACATGTTAGTATGTGCAGACAACTTCAGTTTGGTGATTAACATCTTTAGGGAACCCTTTCAGTCAGCCAGTCAGTCAGTCGGGTTAAGCAGATTTTCAGGAAAGTCAACTTTCCAGCTTTACCCTACATAAAGGAAGAAAAGAAACACACGGACAGAAACAAAAATAGACCAAAGATGAGTAAAGAGTGCTCAATGCATGGATCCAAACAAGACTGACACTTGTGTTTTTGACATTTAATGCCAATATTGCATGTGTTCAGACTAATCTTAGTTATTGTAGGCCTATGATCATCAAAAAAAAAAAAAAAGAAATCATGTCATGTCATCTAGTCATACCAGTCACACTGACACCAACTGCATGTTGACAGTAAAAACAAAAGGATGCAGAAAGAAAGGACAAACTTACATGATTATATCTAAGTTGAATTTCCAGCAGGCTGTAAAGTGTTTTGTCTATCTACACATATAACTTGTCTATTTACAGTAAGTATTTATTTAATACTATTTTCACTAGCTCCGCCCACTACTACACAGACAGTATTTACATTAAACAATGAGGAAATTAATAAAATATTTTATTTGATAAAGTTTAAAAGCGTTTTATTTAAAAATTTTGAATGGGCGAATGAATTACGGTTACCTTCTGCATAATCATTATCCAATGAGACTTGCGTATGCAAATTTTTCCAGTACAGGTGCGCTACCTCAAAGGGAAGTGAACTTGTTTTATAAAAAGCCTGTAAGGAACAGTCAAGTAGCAGAGGATAGCGAAGACGCTTACTTACATAAACGTATTTATTACACTTGGAGACTTTTTTTTAACCCACGTTTAAATTATGCTTATATTTGTTCGCTTCAGATGTTAGATTGGCCAACTTGGAAATTCTTGCATGGATAAAAAATACCGCTGAAAAGGCTACTGCTCGTGGAAGCATTAAGTTCTATAGATAAATGAAACTACCAAAGAGGCGATGGAGATAGATTCGGTGAGAGTTGAGTCGAGTGTGTGGATCGGTAATAAGCGCTACAGGGCTCTCCTGAGCGGATGGTACTTCAACTGGACTGAGATCGACAAGAGGAACCGGGAGAAGAAAACAAGTACGACATTTATTATCCTTCTAAACGCACTTGAGTCCAATAACGCGGTCTAGGTAGACAGCTCAAAGTTTTGGGACAGTTGTTTGTTATTAAAATAATATAGATAATATTTATATTTCTAAATTGGTTTTAAATGCCAGTAAGTGTACTACTCAAGGTCATAGTATGGGTGTTCATAGGGAGTGACAAAATTACATGAGATAGCTTTATAACGGAGCTTTAAGTCATTCTTAATTGTAGATGAGTAACCGCATATTTATATGCATAATGTATCAATAGGCCTATTATTCGATTAAAGGCAGACTCGGTCTTTTTTTCTTTTCTTTTTTTTTGACTAATTATAAACTTTTTACGCATAGAAATGAATAGCACTTTTGAGAAATTTCATTAATTGATGTTTACTCAAATGAGATGAAGACTCCAGTCATCTAAAAATAAATAAATAAGTTAATTCTACAAGGAGAAGGTCGCCCCCTCATGGGCCCAGCCATGTTGACATCACATGACCAGCTTTGCACGTAATGGACTACTATTAACTACTATTAGGCCTAATTAAAAATGTTTTAAATTTATTAAGAAGTAACCAAAACATTATTTCAAATGATAGTAATAAAATAATTTGCAATTATTAAATAGTATAAGAAATGTAATAGCACCTGGGTGCACATCAGTGACTAAAAGTCTCTCTTATTTGTAGATAATTAACCACCATCTAATGATTTGATGCCTGGTGTACTATTACAATTAGTTTAATTATTGACAAGAAATATAGAAAAAAGTTAAAGTGACACTGTGCGCTATCCAATTTGTATCCGCAGTTCTCTTTGAACTTAATGTATTTGCTTGACAGTATAGATGCTGGTCTAACATAATCTAGCTGGATTGGATTCAAGGAATAATCCATAAACATATCAGTCTATGCTCAACGCTCATCTTATGCATGAAAATAATGTTTAAAAGTCCCTCCTTACTGGCAATTTGTCTTTGTCTGCATTCTGATGACCTCAAAACAAGTTGAACAGCACCATCCAGGCTTGACAACAAACCCTGTGCAACTAGGCCTGAGTAGGAATGGTGGAATCTTTCTTGATAATATGAGACACATGTACATCACTTATTCAAGAGCGTCGGTCTGTCGTTCTTAGTTTCAGTGCCGGTGTCAGAGGTGATTGGGGTGAAGGAGGGTCGTGTTGAGATCCAAACCCAGAAGAAAGTAGAAGACACTGACCTTGATTTTACATGTAAGTTTCTGAAAGTGATTTATTTATTTTTTTGCACAGGGATCAAATACAACAAAGTTATCTAAACCTTGTTTTTGTCCTTTTCTTATCACAAGTGTTCTATGTGAAGCGCAACAGCAGAGGTAACGGACATGGACTGTCATGGAGTCTGGGCAGGACCCAGTTCTGCTGTCCTAGCCGGGGTGTCCGGGATCAATGGATCACTCAACTCCGAACCGCACTCAAAACCCACAGTGTGTACAGCTGAAAATAATGCCCTTTCTCATTCATTCAGACTCATTATTCTCTAATGACTCATTAACATCTCTCCCTTCATCTACTTCTCCTCTATCAGGCCCCTCACGTCCCCACAGGTTGTTGGTGTTCATTAATCCTTACGGAGGAAAGAAGAGGGGGAAACAGATCTTTCACTCTCTTGTGGCCCCTCTGTTTGAGCTGGCTGGCATCAGCTCTCATGTTGTGGGTGAGATACTGAGACTTTATCTGTACCGTTCAATAACTGAACAGTTATCAAGTGTCCCCCCCGTTTGGTCTCTGATACTGCCAGCACATCAGATAGTACAGTTCTCAAGTGACATCGCAGATCTTTATCGAGACTTGGGAAGAGGGCTGAGTTGAGTAGCAAAGTTAAATAGTCAGATAAATGGAATCTTGTGACAAAGTAGCATATCCTACTACACACTAACACACACACACACACATTAAATTACATGCATGCACACTACTATTCAAAATGTTAGGGTCAGTAAGCAGAATTAATTTTTTTTTTTACCAAGGACACATTAAATTGATCAAAAGTGACAGTAAAGACATTTATAATGTTACAAAATATTTAATTTACAGTCCCTGTCAAAAGTTTGGAAACATTACAATTTTTATAAGTCTGTTATGCTCACCAAGGCTGCATTTATTTAATCAAAAATACACTGAAAACAGTAATATTGGGAAATATTATTACAAATGTAAAGAACTGTTTTTTTATTATTATTTTAATATATTTTAAAATGTAATTTATTCCTGTGATGGTAAAGCTGAATTTTCAGTATCATCACTAACATTAAATAACGTTAAATAACATTAAAATAGAAAACAATTATTTAAATTTTCTAGTAATATTTCACAATATTACTGGTTTTACTGTATTTTGATCAAATAAATGCAGCCTTGGTGAGCAGAAGAGACTACTCTCTCAATTTGTTTTTTCAAATATAATGTTTCCAAAATTGACAGTTACTGTAAATGCTGTTGTCTTCTATTTATGGAAGAATCCGATCAGTTTCCACAAAAATATTAAACAGCAAAACCTTTTTTCAATGCTGATAATAATAATAAGAAAAGTTTCTTGAGCTCCAAATCAGCATATTAGAATGATTTCTGAAGGATCATGTGACATATTTATTTCATCCATCTGACATACTGTAATGTTGCAAACAAAATTTCAGAAACAAGCTGTTGTTGCAGCTTAGTTTTAATAAATAACTTTTTTGAATTGCTTTATGTACTGAAAACTTCATACAACTCTTTCATTTAAAAAAAAAATCAAGGAAAGGTTTCACATTATAAGACTCCTTTTAAAAAATATAGAGCGACTTAAAAAAAAAATCTGGGGGATGTTTCTTGTTTTTAGTGACTGAACGAGCAAATCAGGCCAGAGACTACATCCTGAGGAAAGACTTAACAGGGTTCGATGGGTAAGTTATTTAAAACAATAATAATACAATTATTTAAAGATTCAAGAGTGCAGTGTAGTAACAATGGTGTCATTGTAATAATTCATGTCACATGAGCCCTGTCCTCTGTATTTTGTTATTCAAGCAGAAGTGTTGCCTAAATACCAAAAGGGTCATCTTAGAAATATGCCTCACTATATTCTGAGAAAGCCTGCTGATAATACTCTAAATTAAGGTTTTAGGAAATTAAGCTCTTGCGTATTTCCAGTCAAATCTTTTTTCCCGTTCAGAGTGATATGTGTGGGTGGAGACGGAATGTTCAGCGAGCTGCTGCACGGTGTGATTGGACGAACCCAGCAGGAGGCGGGAGTTTCAGAACATGACCCAACTGTAATGCTGCAGCCATGTGACCTCCACATTGGCATAATTCCAGCAGGTGAATGTTTGCATAGTGCTGTGACTGATATAACTGTGGAAAAGGGCGTCGATTGTGGTCTGTTCATAGCACTGATGTGTCATTCCGATGCATGGTCAAGATAGTGAGAGGAGTGTTAGTTTACCCCCCTGTGTTTACTCTTCTCCACAGGCTCTACAGATTGTGTGTGTTTCGCTACCGTGGGCATAAATGACCCTGTGACATCGACGCTGCACATCATCATTGGTAATCTGCATCTTATAAGAGCAATAAAAAAGTCAGCCAAAGTTCATAACCACTGCAATGCTGTCATGAGTGCTAATGGCACTGTGTTACCCAATTGATCCGACCTATGGGATAGCAGCCCTAAAAACATATGCAAATTGAGGAAGAATATAAAAATAATGTTCCTCTCTGTCTTGCCACTCACGTGGCAATGTTGCCAATGGTAACACGTGTGCCTGAAGGTTGCTGACCCTTGAATTATTAACATATTTAAGTTTTCATACATTTATATTTATGTTAATTTCTTAAGGTTTTTTTTTATCTTAAAAACAAACTTCAATTAAAAAGATTTGCCCTTGTGCAACACAATATAAAATTGAATAGAAATAATATAAAATGTGAATGATGATGAATAGCGTAACTGGATATTTTTCCTTTTTTTCTCTCACCAGGAGACTCTCAGCCTTTGGATGTGTGTTCTGTCCATTATCAAAAAACACTGGTACGTTATTCTGTCTCTATGGTGGGCTATGGTTTCTATGGTGATGTTTTGGCAGAGAGCGAGAGGCACCGCTGGATGGGACCTCTCAGATATGATTATTCAGGTATGGACGGCAAGTGTCAACTGTCTTTAAAAATAAATTTTAGACTGAATACTGATTCTGAATACTGGGCATTCTCTAGTTTTTTGGGATAGTTCACCCAAAAATAAAAATTATCCCATAATTTACTCACCCTCGAGCCATCCTAGGTGTATATGACTTTCTTCTTTCAGCCAAACACAATCAGAGTTATATTAAATAATATCCTGGCTCTTTCCATCTTTGTAATGGCATTGAATAGAGTTTTTGAAGCCCAAAAAGCACATCCATCCATCATAAAAGTAATCCATACGGCTCCAGTGGGTTAATAAATTCTGAAGCGATGGGTTTTTGTAAGAAAAATATCCATATTTAAAACTGGCGTATACGCAGTCACGAAAGAGTTATGTGGTTTTTAGTAAGAGCCGTCTATTCTCAACTAAGCTTACATCATAAGTCCAAAGTCATACTTCGGGTCAGAGGTCATATGTCGGGTCAGAGGTCACCCTTACGCCGGAACTCGACTCTTTCATTAACGTACTGTAACAAGGTTCAGATGTTATGGGAAGAAGGAGGGAACCGGCGAACGTTCAACAATATTTAATAACATAAAATAAAACAAATACAAAACGAAAGTAAAAGACAGCAGCCCCTCACGGACGACTGCTGTCACATATAATAAAACATAAAATCCAGGCCTGGCCTCTCTCGATCTCCACTGTCGTCGCTCCTCCTTTATTCTTCCGCTCCTCCGTGAGAGATGCGAGACCGGTGCGTCGCGCAGGTGTCGCTCATTATCAATCACGGCACCGGCCTCGCACCGCTCTCTCACGGCCCTCGGCCTCGTCCTGCTCGCCACACGCACGTTGCCAGAAGCCAGTGATTATAGTTTATAAAGTTATAAATATGAATATTTTTCTCACAAAAACCCATCGCTTCACATCAGAAGGCATATACCGGTATTAACCCCTTGGAGCCGTATGGATTACTTTTATGATGGATGGATGGATGTGCTTTTTGGAGCTTCAAAAACTCGGGCACTATTCAATGCCATTACAAAGATGGGAAGAGCCAGGATATTGTTTAATATAACTCCGATTGTGTTCGGCTGAAAGAAGAAAGTCATATAGTCAAAGGATGGCTTGAGGGTGAGTAAATTATGGGATAATTAAAAATTTTGGTTGAACTATTCCTTTAACACTTATTATAATTATATGATTTTCTTTTTTGAAGTAACATTGTTTTGGGAAATCTGTAGGGTTTGATATGCCAGATGCTTCTCTATATGCTATACTTTTATTGTCACTTTTATTGTTGTATGTGAGAGAAGAAACAGACCTCGATCCCCTCTCTGCTCATATTTTCATGTATGTTTGTTCTTCTTGTAGGTTGTATGGTGTACCTGTGTAACAGGAGCTATCCGGGACTAGTGCAATATCTCCCTGCTGATTCCCATATCTCCAGCCCACGGGACAAAACTCAATGCCTCTCAGGGTAAATATTTGTCTTCGTCTTTTTACCTGAAAATCACATTAGGAGCATTTTATTTGAAAATATTGACTTTAAGGAGCATTTTTAGCAACAGGTTGAACAACAGTGCAAAATCCCTGCAGGAACCAGAAGGACATGACTATATGTGCATGAACAGAAAGAAATCCCACATGACTGATACAGCTAAACTAGTTGGTAGAGTTTGTATGTGTGGATGTGTTGAGTGGATCCATGACTAGATTAGGTTGGGTCCTTAGTGTTCTGATTAGTGTGACTTCTTCTTTCGGGAATTATGTGTTATTAGCAGTTACCTCATTAAAATAACACAATTGGCTTGAATTCCTCAGTGTTTTTCTGAATTGGAGGTCCTTCCTTGGGGCTGTTACCATGACCACTCAAGCAGTAGGGTCTCTAATGGAAGAAAAGTAGCTGGTGAATTGCTAGTAGCTTGTCTCAAAGGAAAAGCAAAGACTGCTGAATTAAAAAAAAATATTCAGGGTTATTTCAAAACAAATTTCAAAGTACCACATTATGTGTTATGCCACAGACACAATGCTTAAATTAAAGGTGCATCGTGTAATATTTAGGAGGACCTGTTGACAAATGCAATTTCATATACATAACTATGTTTTCAGTGGTGTATAAATACCTTACATAATGAAACGTTATGTTTTTATTACCTTAGAATGAGCCATTTCTATCTACATACACCACGGGTCCCCTTACATTGAAATAGCCATTTTGCGCCACCATGTTTCTACAGTAGCCCTAAACGGACAAACGTGTTTCGTCACTATGTTGTTCTTCGTGCAAAGAAGCTAGCTAAAGTCAGCGAATAAAACACTGACACAATGATGAACAAGTAACATTAATATTCGCAATAACATATTGTTTTACTGAATAATTAAGTAGACCTAATTTCTTAATTTATCTTTGTAAAGAAACTTCATTGCTTAACTGGCTACTCTCTGCTGTTTTAGACGACGACATATTTTCCTGTCGGCCACCGTAACTTTTGTTGGTTGCAATTTGCAACGTCACCACTGGATGCCTCTAAAAATTACACACTGTGCACCTTTAAGACTCTCTGAGCTTAGCCTGACGTTGTCATACTCATAGATATCCATAATAAAGGCTAGATGTCTCGTCCGCGCTGCTGGCCAATGGAGGTCGACGTCCGCACCTGGCGGCCATCTTGTCACAGGCAGCTCGCTCACTTCTAACATTGTGTTTTAATGGTGCATGTACTTTTTGAATAACCATAACTTGCTCAATTTTCTACCGATTTTCAAATAGTTTGGTTTGTTATAAACGTCAGAGATGTAGTTATCTCCCTCCTCAGTGTTGAATGCAAAATCTACTTCAAGATTGTTTCCAATCGTCTGATGGGGTTTCTCCTTAAGAACACCTACATAGACACCTCGGTGCAGAAAGGAGGAATCCCAGGGGTCCCAGGGTGTATTGAACACACAGGGGTGGTGACACAGCTGATCAGGGAGGCACGAGAGGGCAAAGGGGACTTGGCAGTGCTGTGGCTGGACCTTGCCAATGCTTATGGATCGATACCACATAGATTGGTGGAATTGGCCCTGAGCAGATACCACGTCCCAGAGAAGATTCGAAATCTCATCCTTGACTATTATAACAACTTCAGTCTTAGGGTGTCCTCTGGGACTTCAATATCGGAGTGGCATCGTCTGGAGAAGGGCATCATTACAGGCTGCACAATCTCTGTGACTCTGTTTGCACTGGCCATGAATATGCTCGTGAAGTCTGCAGAAGTGGAATGTAGAGGTCCACTGTCCAGATCTGGCACCCGACAACCCCCGATTAGAGCATTCATGGACGATCTCACGGTCACCACAACCACAGTGCCCGGATGCTGGTGGCTTCTGCGAGGCCTCGAACAGCTCATCACTTGGGCAAGAATGAGCTTCAAGCCCGCGAAATCCAGGTCCTTGGTCTTGAGGAAAGGAAAAGTAGCTGATCAGTTCCGCTTCATGTTGGGAGACACCAGAATTCCATCAGTGTCAGAAAAGCCAGTGAAGAGCCTGGGCAAGCTCTTCACTCACAACCTGAAGGACACCGCTGCACGGAAGGGAACCAGCGATGACTTCGACACATGGCTCTCGGCAGTGGATAAGTCAGGGCTTCCTGGTAGGTTTAAGGCCTGGATCTACCAACATGGCATCCTCCCTCGTCTCCTCTGGCCACTGCTGATATACGAAGTCCCAATTACCACCGTGGAGGGCTTTGAGCGGAAGGTCAGCCGATTTCTGCGCAGGTGGCTGGGCCTGCCACGGAGCCTAAGCAGCGTTGCTTTCTTCGGCCATAACACCAAGCTACAGCTTCCCTTTAGCAGTCTGGCAGAGGAGTTCAAGGTCACCCGAGCCAGAGAAGTCCTGCTCTACCGAGACTCAGTTGACACCAAGGTCTCTTCAGCAGGGGTAGAGGTCAGAACAGGAAGGAAGTGGCGCGCCCAGGATGCAGTGGAACGGGCGGAGGCAAGGCTGCGGCATAGCACCCTGGTGGGTACGGTGGCTACTGGGCGGGCCGGGCTTGGTAGCAATCCCAAGCCATGCTACAGCAAAGCCAGAGGAAAGGAGAAGCGGAAGCTTATCCAGGAGGAGGTACGAGCCGAGGTGGAGGAAGCTCGCTTCAGCAGAGTGGTGGGCATGTCCAAGCAGGGGGCCTGGACAAAGTGGGAGCAAACAGCTGGCCGTAAGATCACTTGGGCAGAACTCTGGAAGGCGGAACCACACCATTTCAAGTTCTTGGTCCAGTCAGTGTATGATGTCCTTCATAGCCCTGCCAACCTGTTCACCTGGGGCCTGGTGGACTCACCTGCTTGCCAACTCTGCCAGAAAAGGGGATCATTAGAGCATATCCTCAGCTGCTGCTCAAAAGCCTTGGGAGATGGGCGTTATCGTTGGCGCCATGACCAGATCCTGAAGGCAGTAGCAGACGCCATCAGCACTGGCATTAACATTAGCAAGCAGCATCATCCAACCAAGTCTGCAATTGCCTTTGTTCGAGCAGGAGAGAAGCCTCAGCCCCCTAGAAAGACCCAAGGGGGCGTCCTCGCAACAGCAAGAGACTGGCACCTCCTGGTGGACCTGGGGACTCAATTGAGGTTCCCAGACACCATTGCAGTTACATCACTACGACCGGACATGGTCTTGATGTCCGCAGCAAGTAAGCAGGTGGTGTTACTGGAACTAACGGTCCCCTGGGAAGATAGAATGGAGGAAGCCCAGGAAAGAAAGAGGGCCAAGTACGCTGATCTGGTAGCGGAGTGTCGGAGGAATGGGTGGAAGGTCCGCTGTGAGCCTGTTGAAGTGGGCTGTAGGGGCTTCGCAGGCCAGTCTCTACACCGGGTCCTGGGACTCTTAGGGATTTGCGGACTGCACAGGCAAAGAGCCATCAAGAACATCCTGGAAGCCGCTGAAAAGGCAGCACGGTGGCTCTGGTTAAGGAGGGGGGACGCGTGGCGTAGAGCGCTACATGGACACAAGTCGGGGCTTGATCACCCCCGGCTGGGTCGCCCGGGTGAGGGTGTCTGATGTAAGACCCGAAACACCCTATGACCCCGGGAGTATCACTGACGATGTGTCCAGGTTGCACCACAAGGTGTATTCAAGTACTGACATTGCATACTTATGAATAATAAGTGTATAAATAAATAATCATCCAGAATTATAGCCACGTTAATAACGTTTGTAAGAAACCAAACCGTTTGTAAATCCGTCAACGAGTTAAGAGTATTTGTGTTCGTGTTGATCACTCATCTTACATCAGGTACCACAGAGCCCGCCAGAAAGCTTGCCTGTGACAAGATGGCCGCCGGTGATTACGATAGAGCAGGGATCACCAACCCTGCTCCTGGAGAGCTACTGTCCTGCAGACTTCAGTTCCAACCCTGTTCCAACACACATGCATGTAATTATCAAGTAACCCTGAACAGCTTGATTAGCTGGTTCAGGTGTGTTTGATTGGGGTTGGAGCTAAAATCTGCAGGACAGTAGCTCTCCAGGAGCAGGGTTGGTGACCCCTGCGATAGAGACTCCGCCGTAAGACATCTAGCCTTTATGGATATCTATGGTCATACTCAGATTCTAGTCAGAATGTAAGTCTGATACTGCTCCATTGGGCTATGATTATGGGGCGTGTTTCAACCGAACCAGGAAAAAAAAAATGCCTCTGCACTCAATTGGATACACTGAATCCCGTAGAAAGGACGGCAAAAACAATTGCCTTGATTGCGGTTCTCTGTTCCTCTTTAAAAAGGAATGTGCTGTCTACATCTTCTATAACAGATGCAATGGCTGAATCTACACATCTAAATTCTCCAGCGGCAGACATACTTTGTTGTAAACAAATTCAACCCAAGCGCTCTTTGGTGACGTGGATGATTACGTTACTGTTGATCAGCTGTCCATCATCGTATAAAGCCCGCCCTGACAATTTGATTGGTCCGAACAGCTTTGGTTCGGGCATACTTGCTTCTCAACGGATCAAGTCCAGACCGAACTTCCCATCCTCAAATGTTGTGGGCGGGGCTAAGTTCGGCTGGCATCCAGGCTACTCCGAGCTAAAATTGGAATTAGTGAGTACTAAATTGAACTGAAATTGAATTGAGAATGGCAATGCTCGAGGATACATTTTACCAGGTATTCTCAAAGTCCCTGTAATACAAGTCATTTCACTCTGCGGCCATCTTTGAAACTCCTCTCGGGCATGCAAGTGAAGCTCCTATCTCTTTGAATGGGGAAACATCAAATTTTCCAAAACTGTTCACCATGCTTATGATTCAATTTCATATTTGAAATCACCAATGAAATCTGACAACAACTGCCTAATATATTTTGTTTCTAAATGCTCGAATCATGACAAAAAAAACGGCATTTTTCAGGTAAACCAAGCTAATGCGCATACGCAGTCCTAACCGCGCATCTCAGGACACTGACTGTTTCCATAGGAATCTAAGCTTCTAACGGCAGCTGCAGTGAGGCGATGACTTTACCGATCGGCGATTGGCTCTTTTCTTTAGAAGGTGGAACTTATTCCACAATATTGCGCATTGAACTTTCTCCCATTTATAGTAATACGAGTCGAGTGCACCGTCTTTCTATATATAAAGTCTTTGGTATTATACACCATCTTGGTTTGTACAACTCCCAGCAGAGATGGTCTTAATTTTGGGAGATAGCAGGGTCCGTGGCTCTACGATTGGAGAAAGCGTAACGGCCTTGATAACCAGTCACATTACAGCCTTTCTGTCAGAGTTTTGCGACAGTCAATCACTGTTTGCGGATACCATAGAAATGAATGAGAAGTGCCGTAAACTTAATCTTATCTGTCGCAAAATAGTCTGTCTCAAGTTGTTCCAAACCTGTATGAATTTCTTTCTTCTGTTGAACACAAATGTATATATTTTGAAGAATATGGGTAGCCAAACAGTTGATGGGCCCCATTGACTTACATAGTATGGGGGGGAAAATACTATGGACGTCAATGGGGGAAGTCAACCGACATTCTTCAAAATATTTTCATTTGTGTTCAGCAGAAGAAAGAAATTCATACAGGGTTGGAACAATTTGAGGGTGAGTAAATCATGACAGAATTACAATTTTTGGGTGAACTATCCCTTTAAAGCAGCTTTGATCCCATAAATGTTTTAAAAGCGTGTGTGTGTGTGTGTGTGTGTGTGTGTGTGTGTGCAGGTGCCGGGTGTGTTCAGAGAGCAAAGAGAGGCTGTTCCCCCATTTTGACAGCTCCAGTTCCCTCTATAGCACTAATGTGAGCCAGTGCAACAGTGAGTTAGAGGGTAAGACTATCTGCTGCCTGTTTGTAGAATGATTGTCTGTGTCATCTCATCAGAGACCCTATTACTGGGATCACACTGTGCTGTGTGTCTCTATGGGCTTCATATGTTGTACGTCTCTATTTGACCGTTGTCATGTAAGTACCAAAGTGTACATTGCTAGTCCTACAAAGCCATTATGCACTTGTGATGTAGACTATTGAGAAAAAAATTGTTAACCTTTTATCACTGTTTCAGGTGAGTGGGTGACTATTGAAGGCAGGTTCAAGTGTGTCTCTCTCACCTGTATGTCAAGCTCCTGTCCACGGAGCCCAACGGGTCTTTCGCCCTCTGCTCACCTGGCCGATGGGACGGCAGACCTCATCATGGTCCGAGAAACTAACCCTCTTGGCTTTCTCACATACCTTCACAGGCACACAACCAAACAGGATCAGGTAAAACCAAATAACATTCAAGTAAATAAACTCTCAGCTAAATGCTAAATAAGTTAGAAAAATCATATTTGAAGCAACTATCATTTCAGTTTGACCTGCCCTTCGTTGAAGTTCATCGTGTCAAGGCTGTCCGGTTTTCTCTACCCCCTGGAGAAGTAGTAGAAGAAGAAGAGGAATATGAGGAAGAGGCTGATCGAGAAATTCAGACCTCTGCTGAAAGAGAACTGGAGGAACCTGAGAAACTGGGCCGTGGTAACAGTGCAGGTCACTCACAGCAGCATCTCGCAGGGTGGAAGGAGAGAGGAAGTGAGACAAGTAGATTAAAAAGACAAGGCTTTCTATGTGGGCCTTGCTGTACTAAACCTCGCTCGGTATCCGTGTGGAACTGTGATGGAGAAATTCTGCCTCACACCAAGATCTCATGCAGGTACGTTGTTGTGTGACTAAGCAAGAGGGAAATTCACATGGAAGAACTGTATAATAATCATACACTAACCTTTTAAAAGTTTGGGGTCTATAAGATGTTTATTTTTAAAGAAATTAATACTTTTATTCAGCAAGGATGGATTTATTTGATCAAAAGTGACAGTAAAGACACATATTATTACAAAAATAAATAAAATTATATTGTGTAAATTATATTCCAAATAGATGCTGTTCGTTTGAACTCCTGAAAATGATTAATCACAGTATCCACAAAAATATTAAGCAGCACAACCTTTTTCAACATGGTAATAATAATAAATGTTTCTGTCATGATTCTGCCCATGTTTTGTGTGCAAGCACATGGCCTTTTGTTTGGGCCATGTGCTTGTGTTTGCTGTCCTGTGCCGGTTCATTATCTTACCTTTATCATTCCTTGTGAGTATCCTGTCAAGTGTATTGTCTAGAGAAAGTTCTTAATCCGTATTTGCTGTTTGTTTATCGTCTAGTTACCCGTCAAGTCTTAGTCTAGTTTAGTCACTCCTTGTCTTGTCCATGTTTTGCCCCCTCGTGGGTTTTGTTTTTCCTAGTTTTGTCCTTTAATAAACTGTGTGTCAAGCATCCTGTCTGCGCTTGGGTTCATCTCTGTAATTCATAACAGTTTCTTGAGCATTAAATCAGCATATTTGAATGATTTCTGAAGGATCATGTGACTGAAGTAATGATGATGAAAATTCAGCTTTGCCATCACAGGAATAAATTATACTTTAAAATATATTATATTATAGAAAACGGTTGTTTTATTGTAACAATATTTTTTCATAATATTACTTTTTTTACTGTATTTTTGATCAAATAAATGCAGCAAAAGAGACTTCTTTCAAAAACAACAAAATATATTACTTGCCTCAAACGTCTGGCTCCAATGATGTAAGCAAATCATAGTGAATGATGATGATTTCAAGTGAAAGTTTAAGGAGTTTCAAACCAAATACTTTGCATCTTCTCATTTGAATGATGGCTAATATGACACTCTTTCCACAGAGTTCACGGCCAGCTGGTGCGTCTCTTTGCCAGGGGCATCGAGAATTCAACAATGCAATGAAACCTCTAAGAGCTAAAAAAAGAGATGTGATCATCGTAACATATGACCTTTTTATAGCACTCTTTATGAGGACTTAATTGCAAAGAAGATAAAGTATGATGGGTGAGAGGATGTGCAGAGTCTTAAAATGTGAATGTATTAGACGCACAGCTCATTTCACATTAGCAAGATATTTAAGCTGTTCCTATATTTTCATGGAAATCTGAAGAATAATGATTAACATGCAGGAGATGGATCAGTTTCAGATCTGTCACAATGTTGTTCATTGCATTGATTTTAGAGTTGTTGTTTTTTTGCAGAGCAAAAAAGTATGTATGCAATATTTTAGTGTAAACTCAACTGACATTAACAACATTAAACTTTGTGTCAGGGTTATTTAATCCAGCACATGAGTGATACCACTGGTTTGTCCTTTCAGTGAAGGCACTACATTTTCTGTGTAAGGCTTGTACATTGACAGTCACAGTGATTGACATTTTTTTTTAAGGGAGTGGACCCATTCCAGACAACATTCTCACAGCTCGACTGGAATGTGCATATACGGGATGTCAATGGGTTCATCGTTCAAAATCACTAGTTAATATATGTGTTTGTCCTAATAAAGTGTCATGAATGTATTAAAAACAATTGACTTTGCTATCCTTGGAGTTCTCTTTCAAAACTTCAATATATTATTCTTATCATCAGTATAGTTACAAAGGAAAAGCCTCATAATACTAGCCTGGTTAAAACCAGACCATTCTCAGTTGTAACTGTTGTAAAAGTTGTAAATCTAAATTTGCCGGAAGTTGTCTGGGTTTTCCCAGGCTATCATAATACTGTAGTGGATGGAAATGATGCTTCCATACATAAATTTGTGATAACAGATACTGACTTAGTTGGGTTTATAACAAACAACGTAAGATAATATAGTCAACTAAGCATTTTTATAAATAGCAACATGAATCCATTACAATGCACTTTAACATGCCTAAACTGTTACTGTGGAAATAATTATTTGATCCCTGCTGATTTTTCCCTGCCTATAATTTTTATGGTAGGTTTATTTTAACGGATAGACAGAATATCAACCAAAAAATCCAGAAAGAAAAATTTGATTTGCATTTCAGTGAGTGAAATAAGTATTTGATCCCCAAACAAAACATATTTTATTTTTAATACTTGGTGGAGAAACCCTTTGTTGGCAAGCACAGAGGTAAGACGCTCAGCCATTGTGGTGTTCTGTTCTTGGGTGTAATAATGAACACAGCAGTCATTTTGATGGTCCTAAATCGGAACCGCTGAAAACACAGTGGCTGAGTTTTTTTCTAACGAAGGGAATATTCCCCATGAGCAACGTCAATGCTTTCATGTTTGCGCGAATCTTTTCTCACCAGACTGCTTATAAACGAGGGTCAGTATAAAGCTGGTTTTGCTAAGAAGCTGCTCCTGAAAAAAGAATCGGTACCAACTATTCATGTTCCTGCTGCACCTCCAGAAGAAGTGAGTGTAAAGTTTTATTAATCTTTATATTAGTCTTTGCAAATCGCGAAAAAAAGTTGTTCATGACCATTAACTAACATCAATCTGTCAACGAACTAACATCCTATACATCAGTAAACACATAGCGTTCGTATCTCACTACTCTACCCTGCCAGGATAGATCAAAGTGACATTATGTTAACCAACCATTCAGAAACGTCCTGTTCGAGCCTTAATTGTCGAACTTCTTCGGGGCCGTCATCTTGTTCCGGGTCCGACTCCGGTTCAAATTGATACGGTTGCACAGATGTGTCCTCAGAGACTTCCGCTGCCATTCTTTCTCCAAAATATACCCTTACTGTTGTCAAGGAAACACTTGTGCGTTGTTCATGCGTTGTGTCAAAACGCCTCAAAGAACAGAGGGGCGGAGTGAGAAAAGCTCATTATCATTTAAAGGTATATGCACTGAAATGGCGTGCTGGAAACAGAGCTGTTTTTGACCACGTAAAATTAGTGTTTTCTTTCAATACTAATGAGAATTTTTAATAAAAGTATAATACAAAGTTTTAATTTAGACCCTAAAGATTCATATTAACTTGTACAAAAATGGCATTATATGACCCCTTTGAGGTTTCTTGGCTGTCTCTTTGCAACTCAAAGTTTCAGCTCCCTCCACAGATGGAGGTGGCTAAGCCACTCCAAGACCTTAATGTGCTTCTTCTTGAGCCACCTCATTGTTACCTGGGCGGTATGTTTTGGGTCATTGTCATACTGGAAGACCCATCCACCACCCATCTTCAGTGTTCTGCCTGAGGGATTTACATTACATAACCACAGCACTTTCTCCCAAGCCTTCTCTGAATCATTAGATGTTTATTGGCAAACTTCAGACGGGCCTGTACATGTGCCTTCTTGAGCAAGGGGTCCTTGCGGGCGCTGCTTGATTTCAATCCATTGCGCGTAGCGTGTTACCAATTGTTTGCTTGGTGACTGTGGTCCCAACTGCCTTGAGATCATTAACAAGCTCCTCCCGTGTAGTTCTGGGCTGATCCCGCACCTTTCTCATGATCATCCGTACCCCATGAGGCGAGACCTTGCATGGAGCTCAAGACTGAGGGCGATTGATGGTTATTTTGTATTTCTTCCATTTCCGAATAATGGCACCAACAGTTGTCTCCTTCTCACCAAGCTTCTTTCTGATGGTCTTGTGGCCAATTCCAGCCTTGTGCAGGTCTACAATATTGTCCCTGATGAAATGAATAAAATGAAGATACAGATTATGTGGACAGATTTCTTTTATACACATAACTAGCTGATATTAGTACTTTCTTAAAGTGACAGGAGGACTATTCTGTGTTCCGCATGGGCACATAACCAATCCGTGGGAGGCAGAATTCTTGATGGTTGCTTGGGGATCAAATACTTATTTCACTCGATCAAATGCTAATCAATTTACAACCTTTATACAATCTGTTTTCTGGATTTTTTGGTTAATATTCTGTCTCTATCCATTAAAATAAACCTACCATAAAAATTACACTTAAAGACACTTAATTTCTTTGTAAGTGAATGAACTTACAAAATAAAAAGGGGATCAAATAATTATTTCCCACTCTGTATATTAGTTTGTTCAGTATTAAAAATATTTGCATAAAGTTGCCAAGTCATGGTCTATGCATTAGAAAAATATTCATTGGAAAAAGAAATGGCCTAAAATTAGAGCTGTGCAATGATTAATCACGATTAGTCGCATCCAAAATAAAAGTTTGTGTTTACATAATATATGTGTGTGTACTGTGTATAATTATATTGTATATATAAATACACACACATGCATGTATATATTTTAAGAAATATTTGCATGTATATACTGTATATATACATAATTTATATTATATATAAATATAAATATTTTATATATAAATAACACATTTTCTTAAATGTATACATGCACGTGTGTGTATTATACAAAATAATTATACACAGTACACAAACATATATTATGTAAACAAACTTTTATTTTAGATCCAATTAATCGCGATTAATCGTTTCACAGCCCTACTAAATTTATAAACTCATCACTTTGAGTAACAAATTAAAGCTTCTACCAAGTAACAGAAGGGTTTGCTGAATAAGAACCAATCATATTGTAGAAAAATCAATGAATGAATCATGTTACCTTTGCCATGCTCCTATTCTATAAAAACTGTTGTATTCTTTTTGCTGGTGGGATTCTCTCTGAAATTGGTCTGTGATCCTCCGGCCGTGATTGAAACATATTCTAAGGCATTGTCTGGAGTCTATCTGGTTAATGCTGCGCAGCAGCTTAGTGGAACACTAGAGACCCTATTCCCAAGTGATAGTGTTCAAAAAGGAACGAGACATCGTTCGACTCAGTTTGAGACTCTTACTGTCAGATAACCATAATTCTTAGGCATTTTATGCGGTCAGAATAGCTACTCTAGGCGTCAACCAACACGGTCTGCAGAGGTGAAGTCACCTGAGTATAATTTTGCAGGTTTCAGGGACACTTGGTTGAACTTAAAGGCAGGGTAGGTAAGTGTGAGAAACTAGCAGAAAACTGCTGGATTTTGAAAGTATCCAACAGAGAAACTCCCACCCCCTCCCTTCTGGGCTCCTTCCAAAGCCACGCCCCCAGAACACATGAACGCGTGATGCCGACCGCTCAGATGGAGGACGCGTTTACTAGCGCCGAGCGGAGAGGAGCGCAGTGCATGCATGGAGTGACATCAACTTTTTTTGCCTTGTTTGCCTGCGCTGACTGTATATGCAGGTACAGGTGGTACTGGGAATTCTGACTGCTCTTTCTCTGCATAATTGTGAGACTTCCTAGCTTCCGGCCAGTACGTGCCTCTCCTCTTTCGAAATGAGCGAGTCAACCGGGTGCGCGCATGTGGGCAGCTCCTGTAGCAGCAGGGGTGGTAGCCATGGTAGCGAGGGAGAGTGACAGTCGCCCAGCCAATCATTGCATTCGTTCCGAATGGAAAGAGTAGCTGTGTTTATTGCAGCCCTGAGAGGACTACAGACACTCGATTTTTATACTCTCCTTTTCAGAGTACTTACATTTTAGATATGTATTGGTATATAAAGACAGTTTAAACAAATGTGGGAAAAAGTGTTTTTGTCAGATACGTAGGGGAAAATCTACCACATCACATTCCTTTTTAAATAAGTATTTTTCTTGAATTAGTTATACATTTAATTTCATTGACGGTTAGATTTGATCAATCTAATAGCAATGACCAACGCTATCTCACGACCAATTCGTACGAATTCGTACGACCTCACTCGAATGATTTGTCCAAACCCACGTGATGGTTAGGTTTAGGGGCGGGGTCAGGGGTAGGTCATTCGTACGAATTCATACGAATTGGGCAACTCGTAAAATATGTACGATTTAGCAAAAAGCGTACTAATTAGTACGAGTGAGGTCGTATGAATCTGTACGAATTAGCCACCTCGTAAAATTTGTACGAATTGCCGTGAGCAATGACTTAACTAGCAATAAACTGCAATGAGTAAACTTGTGAAATCAGAATCCCAACCCTTCTCATCAAATATCTGCTTCTGTCGACCGATAAAGGAGAGGTTGATGGGGAGAAAAGATCTACTG